ATTAATAATATTTAACTTAGTACAAAATGAATAGAAAAAATACCAATAAATATGATTATAAATAAATATGAGGTGGTTTGATAAGTCAATTTCCCGCCCAGTTATTCCAAATGCAACAATGCTGCCGTCCGCTGTAATCTACCAGTGGACAACTTTTTAATTTTGAGCAAGCTAAGTCGTTCAATTGGCTGGGCGGTTAGAGATTTGAGTCGAATGAAGACGTCATTACCGAAACAAACGCGTATTTTGAGAGCTTTGAAAAAACCTATTATTTATTGGGAATATGAAAATTAGAAAAACGCTGGACTAAATGCATCGAGCTAAAAAATGATTATATAGAAAAATAAAATGTTTATTTGCCGAAAAAAATTTGTTTTATTCAAAAGTCACTGACTTATCAAACCGCCCTCGTATTAATATAAATATAAGGTTGGATTAGGTTATACCGGCGATATCAAGGGGTCCACTTAGAAAGAAAATAAATAAATATGAGTAAATATTAATATAAATGTAACGTTAGATTAGGTTATACCGGCGATTTCAAGGGATCCACTTAGAAAGAAAAAAAAGAAATATGAGTAAATACTAATATAAATATATGCTTAGATTAGGTTATGCCGGCGATCCCCAGGGATTCACTTAGGTCTACAATCCCATTATGTTACCGTATAATTAAAAATTCAGGGGATATAACCATTTAGAACCATTGGTGAAGCTCAAATTGCTATTTTTACAGTTCGCCAAGATCCTCAAAACAGAAAGCCTCTAAGTTGATATAAATATAAAAATAAATATATAAAAAAAATAATAATGAAACAATAGAAGAATACCCAATTTTAAGAATGTCCAATTTAACGAGGGATTAAGTTCTGTGACTGATAATTCAATCCGACTTCAATTTCCTGGTTTGACGATTTAATAATGGATTTAAATGTTCTCAGATATATTCAGCAAATTTTTTTACTACACTACATGTCGAGGTTTAAACACCTTCTTGTGTCAATTAGTATATGAAATTTGTTGATTACAAAACCAATAGGCTCATCTACACTTAGATTTATTAATTTTTGTTCAATCGATATCTGGTAAATAAGCCATGGCGACTTATTCAGAGGCCCCTTAAAATAAATTATAATTTATTTTGTAATTTATCTCACTGTAGTATGTATATATAAAATAATTTGTAATGTGCTATTTTTCACTTTTAAGACTTATTAAGACTAATTTATTGTTAGGCTTTAAAAAAGTGTGGTTCAATAGAGATATATTGTTAAATAAAAAAAATAAAAAAAAAGTCGATAAATAAAATGTCTACTGCATATAAAAGATATGTAACATGTATACATAAATTATAAATATATTAATTATTGAATGAACTAATAGGTCATTAATTTAAAGCACCTAATAGTATGGTCCATTAAAATTATATTCCAATATATGATCTTCGGGGAACAAAAAAAAAGTTGCTTCTATAATTAATATATCTACTAATATGTATCTTGATATTGATATATTATATAGGGAATTTTCTGTACAATTTCTGTAAGCTTTAGAATTGCTTTCTTGCTTCAACAAATAAAAATAGAAATCTGTTTAAATTTCTTGGTTCCAAAAACGAAAAATCTATAAATAAAAATTTTTTACTGAGATACAGAGTGTAAAAACAGTTATCAATTCTTTAACAACTTTAAAATGGTTTGTCTAAATATCTTCCGTCTTTTTTGGTATTTTTTTTAACTTAAATAGTGTTAGAAGTTATATTGGTTCACAGTTATATGGATATGGATTGCTATTAGCAAAAATCTTAACTACAAATTTTAATTTTTTAGGAACATAAACCTTTCTATCATGCGCTAATTTTTAAAGCAACTTTTTTTTTTAAAATCCACTATTAAAAGGCATGCTTTTTTGTGCACACTTTTCTGTGATACCCTGTATCTTAGTAAATATGAAAAATGTATTCATTCATGTATTTACACATAAATTTAAAATTGTTACGAAATTAACTAAAGAATTAATCAGCGATATAATGGATATACCCTGTATAATATAAAATATTTTATCAAAATAAAATCCAAACTATTTTAATGTGTAATTTGTTGTTCATAACAGTTTAATTATACTTATCACCATAGGTGATAATAATGGCATTATTAGTATTCAATTACCATCACTCAATTTTTCTAAACATTTAGAGATTCTTAATATGTAATGTTACGCGTAGACATATATATATATATACATTTTAAATATCTGATATGTTTGTTATGTTATATCTACGTAATATGTCTGATGTTAGTCATAACTTATAAACACTCATATTTATGGGCAATTAACGAGCATTTTTATGTGGCGTTCAGAACAGTTTTAAAAGTTTAATGTTTATTTTTAATAGTTTTTTAAATAATTTTAGTTTTTATTGTTTTCTTTTTAGTTATAAATGTTTGCTTTCTGTCCATCTGTTCATATAAAAATACATTAATCTAGTACCAATATATATTTTAGTGCAAGGTAATATATCGCTGTATGAATCAGTCTACGAAACATAAAATGTACTTAATTCATTTAGTAACGATTTCTGCAAAAAACATTAAAAATGAAATAAAGATATTATATAATTTTAAAAAAGGAAGTGGTTTCTACAACCCTAAATAACTCGATATAATATTTGTCTATAACACTTACCTATATATTTAAAATTTTATTTTTCATATTTACTAGTTTATTTTTATATAAAGAGATATACTATATGCATATAAGGCTCATTTGTGAACTTGTACATTTTGTTGAATTACCTTAATTGGTTAGATATTATTTTTCTTCAATGTAACGAACTATACATATAGTTACTAACTATACAACTATATATAACTACTGTAGTTACAAACTATGTTATACCTATAGTAAACGATCAAACTTTAACAACTAACAAACCAAAGATTATTAATCAATATAATTGCTTACAAATAACATGTATTACAGTAATATCTACATAAAATAATATAAATAATATATATATATATATATAATGCTATTTTAGAATTTCATATTTTTTAGATATATATATCATAAATTTATACATATACATAGGAAATAATGCAATGCTATACTTATATATAGAAAAGAAATTTTCAAATGTATCCAAATTTTTGTCACAATGATTGAGCTAATTTATATAGCTGTGGTTTATGCGTTTAGTTATAATTACTGGCATTAGAACTGCAATGGAGAAAAAGTTAGTCGTTAGTTTTCTGTGAACACAAAACGGGTTTCTTAACAATTGCAGTGCCAAAATTATATGCACATATATACGCACAGTTTTACTATTTTAAATAATATTTGACGATATCTGAAAGAGCCCATTAATTCACTTGATTACAAATTTGTTTCAGATTTAAAAATTTCGTTACTATTATTACCCTTTCTAGTTCGAAATAGATGTTTTGTAATAAGATATAAAATACTAAACTAAAAAAATAAAATATTCAATAATATTATTAGTAATTACTTTTCCTGTATGGTAGGTGAATTGACATGTAAATTAATTATTATTCAGATATTCAAAGACCAATCAGACCTTAATCTACTTTAATCTATTGTTTGGTTAAAAAAAAAACGCAGTTATCTATAGAAATGAGATCACTTCCGCAAACATAGCAAGTCTGTTCATTTATTAACTTCAGTAATACAAGCATTATGAACAACGCAGTATTACTGCCAAGCATTATAAATAGATAAATACATAAATACATAAAGACTTGGATTTTTAAGTAACGATCTTTGCGGATTTTACTCTGATTTATTGTACAGATCACTAGCATACTCCTTGCTTACTCTTAAGATTCTTAAAAACCTTTTTTAAGAGTTTTAAAAAAATATCAGTAGTTGATATCGTAAGCTCATAAATTTCTCAATGGAAATAAAGTGCATATATCACAAAGATACCCCATAAATAGGATTTCTTTAGAAGAAGTGTTAGGTTTTTTTATTTTAAATACTCAATTAATTATTAAATTTAATTAATTTAAGGCTAATTAATTGTTAAGGTTTCAAAAAAAATTTTATTTAAAATTAATTGTTTTGGTTACTTTTTATTAAAAATATTTAATAACTAAATAATATGGAATTTTTTTTAATTTCCTCACCCAAGAAGCAGTGAGTTTCATAAATTTATTAATTTAAATTAACTTAATTGAAAATTTGCGTAATTGTAGTAGATTAAAAACATGTCACGAGCCGCAAAAACGTTAGCCGCGGGTCGTACTTTGGACAGCCCTGCTCTTAATGAAGCGATTTAGAAATTCCTATTATTCAAATTTAATTCTTAATTTCATTTAACTCTTAATCTTAATTTAAAAAATTAAGTTTAATTATCCATAATTTTTTAAAGGGAATGTTTATCTTGATTGGTTACTTACTGTGTTTACATTCTATATTTTTCCTGAAATATTTTCGAGTGTTCTGTTTTGGCTTAAAATTATTGTTATTGTTTTATACAAAATTTTATTTAATCCATTCGCTCAAGCATCGAACTCATCGCACAAAGGCGTGAATGCACTTCAAGTCAATATTAGCCATACAAGATAATTCGCTAAAAGAAGTAAAGATAATATCTCAATCACCCAATGAAAAATGTATGAAGAATTAGATTAAGTATGATCGTATCACACTTATTGAAATCGCTTTAAAGTTGGAATTTTGTAAAGTGTGACTTGAATATGACTTAAATAATACAGATTCTTATTTTCCTAAGCTATCTTTTGGCCTCATCTGTTATGTGGTTTATAACAAATGACATCAGTTGTTTCTATGAATCATAAAAAAGTTTTGTATTTAAGAAATAAATCCTTATTTTTAGTTAAACATAATAGAAATCAAAAAAAAAAAAAATGCATGGTACAACCTGCCATATTTTCTCATAACTAAAGAATTTTATACTTACATTTTTCATGATCCACTAACAGAACCCTATTTTCTTGCATTAAATTTCATATTTTTAGGGTCCTGAACAAATACACGTATCTAAATTTTATAAAGAATCCAAAAATGGCAAATTTGTCAGTTACATCACAGAAAATGTGCGTACCCTGTATCAAACATTTCGTGAAGGTGCCTACGTGTCGAACAACGGACCCTGCTTGGGTTGGCGTGAAACTCTGACATCGCCATATCAAGTAAGTAAAATTTTTATTATATATATGCAATATTATGAATAAAATAAAAAATTATAGTGGATAAATTATGATGAAGCTTTGTTACGAGCCAAAAATTTTGGTGCGGGAATGTTAGCTTTGGGTGCTCGACCCAAACAACTAATTGGCATATATTCACAAAATCGACCGGAATGGATATTGTACGAGCAAGGTTGTTATTGCTATTCCCTAGTTGTAGTACCACTTTACGATACACTTGGACCAGATGCATGTGCTTTTATAATACGTCAAACAGAAATGTCAATTGTCGTTGTAGAAGACGATCCTAAGGCAATTATGTTGCTTGAAAAGGCACCACGAACACTAAAAATCATGGTAGCTATTAAGCCCATACGTCAGTCAACACTAGATCGTGCCAGGAGTCATGGCATACAAGTGTTATCATTTATTGATGTAGAAAAATTGGGTGCTAAAGGTACTCATCCCGAATTGCCGCCAAATGCAGAAGATTTGTGTACCGTGTGTTATACTTCAGGTACTACTGGAAACCCTAAGGGTGTCATGCTTACGCATGGTAATATTGTGGCTGGCGTATGTGCCGTTATATTACAAATGGGTATGTAATAAAATATATATAATAAATTATATTATGTTATTTATGTTAATATTTTTTTTAATAAATAAAGGTGAGCATCGTATACGTGCTAGTGATGTAATGATATCGTACCTGCCTTTAGCGCACATGTTTGAACGCTGCTGTGAGAATGGCATGTATTACGTAGGTGGCTGTGTTGGATTCTATTCTGGTAACATTAAAGAATTGACCAATGATTTGAAAATGCTGAAACCAACTGTTATGCCAACCGTTCCCCGCCTGCTAAATCGCGTTTATGACAAAATACAAAATGAAATCTCTGCGTCATCAATCAAACGTGCCCTCTTCAATATGGCAATGAAGGCTAAACAAAAGGAAATCGCACGGGGTATTCTTCGAAGAAATGGCTGTTGGGATAAGCTAGTTTTTAAAAAAGTACATTTAGGTATCGTTAATTTGATTAACTATTTTATATTTTAGTTTTGCTAATAGTAATTAAATTTATTAATTAGCTTTTGGAGGCAATTTACGTTTGATGGTTGTCGCTTCAGCTCCTTTGGCTGGAAATGTTTTAACATTTATGCGTTGTGCTCTTGGCTGCCTTGTTTTTGAAGGTTATGGTCAAACAGAGTGTACAGGAGCTATAACATTAACCGTACAGGGTGATTACGTGCCTGATCATGTGGGTCCACCTGTATCTTGTAATGCAATTAAGGTAAAGTTTTAATGTTATTTGTTATTTTTTTGTTTATAATTTTTTTATTGCGTTTAGCTTGTGGATGTTCCAGAAATGGAATATTTCGCTAATCAAAATACCGGAGAAGTTTGTGTTCGTGGGTCCAATGTATTTCATGGGTGAGTATATAATTTATTTCGACATTGACTATATTGAATCGTTTTGACGTCAATTAGTTCTTAAATTAAATGAATAAGATTTTATATATAAACGTTTTTATAATAAGCCTAAGATTATTGATAGAATTACTTAATTCTTTAGTTTATGTTTTATAGTTACCATATAATACAAACAAGCACACTTTAAATTTGCAATATTAACTCCGTAGATGACAATTTTATAACTAATATTCAGATTTGAAAATAGCTGTTATTTAGCTGATATGCGTATATTCCCCTAGTGAAATTTAATTTTTTATAAGATAATTTTACAGATTTCTGCAGAACATGTATTGAACTACGCTTATACCATTTAGAAAACTAATTAAGATCTTTGATGTTTTGGTGGATATCTAAGTAGTAGTAAATATTTACGAAATTTCCATATTTTGAGTCTTACTGAACACTCAAATTTTCCTGCAAATTATGTAGCCATTCCAAAACCCATTCTGCTATTTGATTTATTTAATAATTCCCATTTATTTAAACTGCAAATATTTTTTGCAGCTTTGTTTTATAATCTGTTGTTTACATTATCGTAGCATTCAGCTCAGAAGACCTCGCATAGGAAAACAATCACTACCATTAATTATCTAAGGACACATCATTTTATTTTTTATTAACTTTAATTATATTTATTATCTATGGCGTTCATTTATATATGACATAATTTATTTATTTATGTATTTAATGAAGTGCTATGAGAGAAACCCTTTCAATATACTATCTTACATTCTAACTTACAAACTAACAAATAAAATTGAATATATTATTTAAAGCGGATGAGAATTGTATACTCCATTTTACACCATTTTTTTAGTTGAGCATCATATTAACATTCTACAGCAGCATCATGCAGCACAGTTAAGCTTACGACTTAAGTGCATGTTCTTAAAAATAAACTCTGCATTGCTTAAAATTAATAAATGGAGTAATTTAGTACTATTAGATATTTTCTCAAAAACCTTAAAATAAATTATTTTGTGAAAGGAATCACAAATCTATATAACTACATAAATACATTTAAATATTACAGAACTAAAAGAACCGGATGGCATAAGTAGATAGAGATATTTTACATATACATATGTATATACTATCGCCGTGTGCGCGTTCGAGTAAGTTGATGGTAAATTGAGGGAAATAGTAAATTATGTCGGTATGGCAGCGAATGTTGGTATTTACCAGAATTTCGAGTAGGTTGAATTAGTTAAAAATTAGGTAAATTAGGTATTACCATTGTGAAAATTTTATAAGATGTTTAATAAATGAATAAATAAATTCGAAAGCTTTTAACCAAAAATAATATATAAGTGCAATAAATAAATAAAGAAATATTTACATAAGTGGAGTGCAATAAATCCCTTGGAAATTTCAATTTACTCGAACTCGCACACGGCTTATATTTATAAAATATATGAACAGTGATTACACTGCTTATGCTATAGATACACATGTAAATTATATTCTAACTCTAATGTAATTTTTTTTTCTAATATATAAGATACTACAAAGATCCAGAAAAAACTGCTGAGGCCATTGATACTGAAGGTTGGCATCATACTGGCGATATCGGTAAATGGCTACCAAATGGCACATTGCGTATAATTGATAGGCGTAAGCATATTTTCAAACTAAGTCAAGGAGAATATATCGTACCAGAAAAAATCGAAAATATTTACACATTAAGTCAATATGTAAATCAAGTTTATGTATATGGTGAAAGTCTGAAGGTATAAAAATCTTAAAATAAATCGAAATGGGCTATAAAATTTTTTTATTAATGAAATTTTTAAATTAATATTAGAGCTGCATTATTGCTGTTGTCGTGCCTGATGTCGATGTATTGAAGCAATGGGCTATAGATAATAATGTACGCGGTACACTATCAGTTTTATGCAATAATCACAATGTTAAGGAATTGATTATGAACGATATGTTAAATTGGGGAAAACGAAGTGGCTTAAAATCCTTTGAACAGGTTTTGTATAACATAAATATTTAAATTCTAAAATAATAATTAACTTCGTTATAGGTGAAAGATATTTATCTGCATCCCGATCTATTTTCGGTACAAAATGGACTGCTAACACCAACATTCAAATCAAAACGCCCACAGTTGAAAAGTTACTTTAAACCACAACTCGAGGATATGTATAAACATTTAGATTAAAATAAGCTTAATGTCAAAGAAACTAAATAATTTAATAAAATTATTATATATGATATTATAAATAAATTTAAAGAAATTGTAAAAGGTTATATTAACAAAATAATTACATTAAGTCTATTCGAAAAAATAAATTAAAATATATAAAAATCAAATAATATGTAGAAACAAATTTATGTATAACAGAAAAATGCAATTACTAAAAAATATAATAAATATATACTAAACTATATAGAATAATTTTTTAAATTTATATATATCAACAATTTTATTCAAATTTATATATTTACACGGATACACACGCGAGCATATTTCTCGACGACGAAAATATATCTAAAGTTGCAAACGGAGTCAAATTCAATTAAAATAAGTAAATTTGCTCGATAATTCTACGCAAATGTTTAATTAGTTATTGTTATCTAAAATTTAGAAATATAAATTGTTTTTAACGATTAAATTAGTAAAGCAGAGCAATATTAAAAAACCTAATATATTACAAACGAATTATTTTGAGCATAAAAATAAATTGCTGCTATTAATAAAAAATTGTATTTAATATGTACGTGAATTCAAAAACTAGCAAATTAATTATAAATACAAATGATATGCATATACAAAGATACTAGAACATAATGAGTTTCTAAAGCAGGTTTTTATAAAAAAGATAGTAGAATCTATAATATAATTTATTAATAAAAATAATTTCGAATAATTAAAACTAATCACTAATCGATTTAATATTTTAGTCATCAAATAAATAAAATTTTATATATTAACGAGCATGAAAAAATATAATAATATAATTGCATATATGATAATTAAATTAAATATATTCCGATGTATTTATACAACGTAGCATATATACTAAAATGTTTTTAGTCATATTTATTTATGTAAAATTATTATTTTCTATATTGACGTATTTATTTAAAATATATATTAAATGTATTTATTAAATTGTATAATTTTGTTCGACTAAATTTTTAATTGTATTGATTTTGTTTTTATATTTTTAATAAAGTCGTATGATGAGTGTATATATGAGTTGTTTTTATTTTACTGAATGAATTTGAAAATAAATATATTTAAATTATACTTTATATGCATTAATTGCAGTAATTAAGTAATATATATAATATTATAATATTGGTTGCAGTAATTAAGTAATATTTATTTGAAAACAACAGTAATAAATGAAGAGATCGTTATAATAAATTTTCAATTATTAATTTAGAGGCCTTTTTTGTACTTTTTAAAATAAAATTAGTTCTTTAGTTTTTATAACATCTCACTCTGCTGAAGAAGTCAAAAATCTTTGTAACTTTGGTACTTTTATAAAAAAAAGTACTACAAAGTACTACAAAAACATTAAAAATTTTTCTTTTTTGTCAGTTATTAAATGTTTTTTATAATTCTTATTTATTGTTAAATTTATTACATTTAAATTAAAAGTATATATATATATCTAGTATATAAATTTATGTTCTCATCACAAGATTATATAAATTGACATTTATTAACTTTTTAGAAAAATTATTTAGAAATTAAAAATTTTATTTTAAAAATAAAAAAAATTTAGAATCAAATTTAGTAACCTTTAATTGTCTACACAATGCGCTTATTTTAATATTACGCATATATAAGAATAAAACAATTTTAAGAATATATGTGATTCTAAATTTTAATGCTTTTAATGTGCTGAAAGGTTAAGTTTAAAATAAAATATATATATATTTAATTTAAATTTTTATTAAGTTCTATATAGTAATTCATAGTAGTGAAGAACTTTTTTATTTTACTTATTAAAAATTATGCATTAAAAGTAAAGTAATTTGTTTCGAATTAAAAGGTTAAAATTATTTATTTTAATTTTATAAAAACTCTATGATAGGGACATCATTATAAATTATTAAAATAAAAATATTAAATATGAAGAACTTTCTGTTCTTTAAGTATTTTGTTTTTTTCACATTTTCCTGCACTAATTTTTTTTACTTCGTGTTTTTATTATATAATTAATTATTTAAATAATTTTTATTTGAAAAATGTCATTTTTTCTTATAAATATGTATTTGATCATTTTTACGATCTACTGGCTTTATAATTTTTAATTTATATTTTGTAATGAGTTAAGTTAAATATTATTTGTATTATTAAATATTATTTAAATAAGTATGAAAATAATAATAATTATAATACAATTAAAAGTAACATCGTTTCTTAAATTTTTGTTTTTAATTGCAATATGATAAACGAATTAATTTTTTTTTTATACAAATATATTATATTGAAATTTTTTTTTTTAAATTTGTATTACAACAAATCATATAATATTTAAGTTTTGAAATTAAAATTCATTTAAACAATTATGAAAAATTATTGAAATTAAAGTATTTTACATATATTTATCTATGTATAAAAATTTTTACTTGTTAAGTATTAAAAATATTTATTTATATTTATTTATTTAAAAGATCATGATTATTTTTCAAAAACAATTAAATATACATAATAAATTTAGTGATTTAAACTTTAATAAATAGTAAATATTGCTTATTTGATACAATAATTCAAAAATATTTTAAGTTTCTTTATAGCAATCATATATATGAATTATATCTTCAAAATATTTACAATATTTAATTCTTATAAATTAAAAGAAATAATAAAACTATCTATAAATATACAAAACGATATAAAAATGTATAAAAAAGATATTCTGTATGAAGTCCGTAAACACATTTAATTATATACTATTTATAATTTCGAATTATACCATAATATTTATAACTAATTAAAAATTAAAAAATTAATAATATTGAATAAATAAGCCAAACAATAACAAATAATGCGGCTAATAGATTTTATTTATTTTATAATTTTATTTCTTGATCAGTTTTAAATTTAAATACTTAAATTATACTTATAAACTAAGTGAAGTAGGTAAATTAGTAATATAAGAAAGTTTTTAAGAATATTAATAAATTATTCAGAAATTATAAATTTAAATTTCAAAGAAATTGTAGAAAAATCAGCCCATTATTTTTTGCATAAAAAATTCCTTTTAACAAGAAAAAATTCAAGCGATAATAAAAATTATTTAATAATTATAATTGAAAAAATAATTTAGATATAACGTTAGCATATATTTAGAACAAACAGAAGCTTTAATAAATTTATAATAACGTACACAAAATAATTAAATAGCATTCTAAGAAATAATTATCATAGGTAAACGTAATATTAAATATTTCATAAAAATAAAAATCCTAAGTAAAAGAATTTTCATCATACTGTAAGAATTCTTAACTTAATATTAAGTTAAAAATGTATTCATTAAATAAATTTATAAATCGCAATAATAATAATACACTTTAAAAATAAGAATTAATATTATGTTTTTAAATACATATAATTTCTTTCTACGTCTAATAAGTTAGGTTATAGCATGGGAGTAGCTTATGCCATCAATTTATGTTTATTAAGTTTTAAGTTTTTACATCTATTGCATATACACATTTCCGGTGACTAGCCATCACTGTGTTCTGGCTTCAGCGGTGCCGCTTGGTGTGTTTGCGTTATAGTGGGATCTCTACAGTCCTTTTCTCCCAGTAGAGCATAGGATCATTTTATAGGGCGGAACCATCTTAATGCGATCGATCCGTTTACATGAGCACGGAGAGATGGGCTACTTGCTAAATTCTAGTTATAGTTGTTTTTTGTTGTTGTGTATTGATTTGTAATTGTAATTGTATTATTTTATAATTTGTTTTCGAATTTCATATACACCGGTAGATGTGTTTGAATACACTGGCGATTTACTGAAGGCATGGGTGTCCACCCACTGAGTTGCATATAAGCCCATGAAGGTGACGGAGCTTCAGTCAGCTCACTGGCGACGGCAGGTCTGGATATCAAATTATGAAACAAATATATAAATTAAATTAAACATGTTAAATTAATACTATAGAATTCTATAACCCAATATTCAAACAATAATAACAACCAACCTTAAGATTAAAACTAAAAGAAACTATCGAATAACACATTGAACTAAATTTTAAAAGTAAAAAAAAAATAAAAAAGCAAATAATGTATATTATTTATATATATATATAAAATAAATTAATTTAAATTAATGAATTAATATAAACCAAAGCAAATAAATTGAAATGAATGAAATAAATGTATAAATTAAATTATAATAATTATTTTTATAATATAAATTAAAGTGTCCGTATTTTTTTTATAAAGTAACACCAATTTTTTTTTTTGAATGATTAAAATTTGTATTTTTATTACCATATTTTACATATATTGATTGTACTTATTTACTTTTGGTTATTACATATTTAATAAAATAGTGCAAAAAGATAAGAAGAAATTGAAAAGAGAAAAGTTGTGAGTATATTTAGTTTGTCAAAGTATGTCTATAGTCAAAATGCTTACCATTTATTTGTGGTAAGCTCAAAACTCCAACTTTTAAATTTAAAGCTGGAGACCCAGATGGTTAGGAAAATAATATCTCTGTAGGATGTCAAATCTTCAGCATTCAGCAGTAAAAAAAAACTTAATAAAGAATTAAGTAACGTACGGTTACTCGGATGAAGGTATCAATGTAGCTTTCTTTATATTAGTATCCAAACCAGTTTCTTAATATTTGATTTAGCGAAGAAATTGTTCAAATCTGAAAATATATATTTTAAAAAAATAAAGAAAATGAAAAAAATATGTACGTATTAGTAAACAATAAATTTTTTTAACTATTTGTGTACATATAAATAGTAAATTTTAATTGGTTTAATTTTTGTTAAGACAAAATAGATTTATTTTAATACTATATATTTATTTTAAAACAACTACTACTTCGTTCGTTTATGTAATTTAACAGTTCATTACTTATTTATTATTATTTTTTATTATGTAGAATATAATCAAAAAGGCGCTGATATACTTTAAATTAATAATAACAGCATCCATCCATAGTGGTTCTTTCATTTTATAAAAGTAACTCTTTAGCCTTAAATAAATTAGACGTATAAGAAAATAAATCGATGAGTAGGTATTTTAGAGTAGGTATAAAAATAAAATTTCAGTACACACAATTAATTATATATAATAGTACTATTAATAGCAATGAAATAGTAATCACTAATAAAAAATTTCTAAAAATCATATAATAATTTAAAAAGTTTTCATGGCGCACTTCTATTCTACTATTAATTAATTAAATTAATTAATTTGATTAATTAAATTACTTAATAATTAATTATATTATTTACTTGTTTTCTTTTTGTCACTTATATTAACTTATCAATACTAAATAAATTTTGTAGAATTTACAAAATATATATAAATTAATATAATATATTACATATATTAATGTAATAATATATAATATTTATAAAATAAGTATTCAGTTATTTTATTGCCTATTTTGAATTTGTTTATTTTTTAATTTTATTATATTAATTTATAATTATGATTTCATTTTTATTATAAGTAATTAGTTATATTTGTAAATTTGAGTATACGCATCGATACATTCGATTCGATATAAGATTAATAAAATTTAAAGGAATTTTTATTGATGTACGTATATTATTTTGATTTTATTTAATTTTTGGATAAAAAAGGTATCTAATAAAAATATATGTTATCTTAAATTTTATAAAAAAACTTTATATTAATTAAAAACAATAATTTTCGAAAAGATCATAAGTTTTGGTTTTTGCTTTTGCATTAATGTAGATATATACATATAAAGATATATATATCTAAATAAAAATTAAATAAAATAAAAATTTAGTTACATAATTAAAAATTATGTTTTTATTTTTTAGAAACAAATATTTCGCGTATTTGAAATTTATTCAAGTAATTAAAAAAAAAAAAATTATAGTATCTAGACTAAGTAGCATATTTTATTCATGAATTTCTGTTCTTTTAATATATTTAGAATATTAATTTTTAATAAAAAATATGAATTATTTAACATTATCAAAATATAACTAAAAGCAATTTTGTAGCGAATAGCAAAAAATTTCAATTTTAGAATTTATTTTAGACTGCATCATCTGCCTTATAATCTTGAACATACATACTTCTTTAAACACATTTATAATATAGTATTTCATAACATATGTATATATTTATATATATACATATATATATATATATATATATATATATATATATATATATATATATATATATGGGCTTTTAAAATGATTACAAAAAAAAACTAATTAAACTACTAATTTGGATGTATATACATAAAATAAAGATACTATGTATAATATGCTAATATATAACACTAATATGTTTTATATATATATTTAAGAGAGTACTAAAAAATCATCTTATATATGTAAACTAACAAAAAACTATTAATTAATTTTTAAAACTAATAAAAAATAAAATAAATAATAAATTAAAAAAATAATTTTTCATTTTGTTTTGCCAAAATTTAAGTTTAAAATTGATATAAATAAATTAAAAATGATTCTCTTCACATATTTAATAGTGACCTCTTTACTGGTTTTGAGGAAGTGTTATTCCAGCTATATCTTGACGTATAATAGTTAAAGCTATATGGAAAATTTCTTAATCGAATCCAATAATCATCAATTATCTAAACAAGCTTGATGGCTTTTCTATTATTGGTTATGAAGTTGGGTGTATGGAAGTACCGCATTTTATTATTTCGATTGTTAGTTCTTTAACTAGACAAAGGAAGTAAATTATAATCAAACGGTATCTACTGGTCATCATTTATCAGATTAGAAGATTTAAACTCAGCTTATTCCTTTTTCATTTGATTAAAAATCATGTAACAGAAATGTGTACAATTAATAATATGGCTGTAAGCAGACGGAGATATTATTGTTGGAACCAATATGGTTATAAGTTTCTTGAATTAAACTAAAGTTATATAAAATCTTAATCACATAAAGTTAACAGTTTGGGTAATTCAACACAGACTTACTTACTTACTTACTTACTAATGTCGCCATAACAACCCGTTACCGAGTTTCGGCCTGACGCAGCATGTCTCCCCAGGCGCCTCTGCTGCGTGCAGTTAGTGCTCCCTCAACTTGATCATTCCACCGGAAACACGGTCTACCTCTACGTCTTCTTCCGCCAACTACTGCTTCAAACACCTTTTTCGCCGGAGCGTCTTCATCCATTCTCACGACATGATTTATGTATAATGGAAGTGAGTTTTGAATAATGGAATTTGTGAACGTAATCTATTCAAACGACTTTTATAAATCAATGGCTGTTTCTAATCTTGTGTATATGGGACTATGAGATAATATCCATTTCATACTTCTGGGTTTCAACTATTTACATTAAAGCTATAGAAAAAATATGAAAATTCAAAAGGCATAGTCCGAACTATACTTTTGTTGGGCAGACATAGTACCTATAAGGTTCGTTGTTTGCTGGTACAGTCTGTACTATAAGACTTGAGGAATAGCAATAAATTTTGAGTTGAAAAATGCAAAGTATTCATCGAACGTAAATCCTTGCTTTGTCAATAATAGAATTTATGTGCTCTGTCAAATAGAGCAGAAATTATTCTTCATCATCGTCTACTAAATATTCAATACATAATAATATTACTTTTAATAATGTTGTAAGATGTTGTAAGATTTTATAGAAGAAAGTAGCTAAGTATTTGCTTAGGTGGTTCTATCACGTGATTCCTTTTTTTAATGACTAAAAATTTCTAGAATTTTGAAGAAATTGTAAAACTTGTTTTCGCTTTTTTAGGAATATGTATTTATTATAATAATCATTAAATATTTTTTAGAAAATTTTTTCATTGTCAGTTACCATTTTGTTAAGATTTATTACTCTAAATAATTTCGTATTATAATATTTTGATAATTAAACAAGGTCCCTATGTAATATATTAATAATATATTGGTTGGCTTTTTTCATACTGTCTATCAGTTTTGCTGATGATATATATTTTTTGGTTACCCATTTTTAAAGTTTAGATCAATTGATTAACGTTAATTACTCATCATTTTCTAAATAATAAAAGACAGAAAATTGGCGTTTCGAAGTATTAGTATTAGGGTTTTGGATGGCCAAATTATTACGGTTGCTGAAATTTCTACACTAATATCTACATCACATTATAATTGATCTGCAGTAAAGATTGATAAGAAAACTATCAATTCAGAAAGGAATAGGCTAAAAAACGAAAAGTTAGTTAAAAAATAATGTTGATTTAAATTAGACACTACCAATGTGCTGTATATTTCATATCTTCTTTTACTGTGCAGACTTTGAGTTATCTATATGACTATATACTATGTATTAGTAACATATTAGAGAGCGTTAACAATAATAGTTAGAATATTTGTCTGTAAACGTTGTAATGTCTCCACAGCAATTTTCTCAATTCACCGTAAGTCCAGATTGGTTTCAAGATGTTATAAACAACTATTTTATTTTCTACAAAAAGTTTTGACTGTCGCCCTATTAGTCTAAACAGAATATTAAGTTTAATGCGTGGCGTTTTGTCAATATGTGGTACTGCCGGTAATCTTGTGTCAAGATTCATACCAGGGTACTTAGCTTTTGTTGATTGGGGTATTAAAGCAGACAAGTTAAGATAAGGACAGGAGTTGATTTTTCTTCCAAAAAATGTGTTGATTTGGGTTAATTGGCTTTATTTTTTTAGTTTTAAGTATTTGATTTTTTTTGAAAATGTTTACGTCAACGGTAACAATATTTAAATTATCAACTATTTTTTGATTTTAAGTTTCACTCTATTAAAATTTTTTTATTTTCTTTTAATATTGCTTTGATAATTTATAAAGTCTTGCTTTTATGAATGAATCTTACAATAAAAAAGGTCGTCCTCTTTTTATATTATTATGTTGAGGCTAGTTGAGTTAGTGCATTTGAGCATTTTTACTCACTATTAGCTGTGAGGTTTTTTCATAATCTCTCTCTACGCCTTGACTGGATTATTGTTTACCACTATATCAGGCTAAAAAATAATTGACCACAGATCTGCATACCTCCCCGTGGAGCCTATAACCATTCGAGATTCGATAACGCTTGTCAGTTTTCGTAAATAATTTCAGGGCTCTATTCTTTATGTATTTTATGATCGGATGAATCTTGAAGCTCCTGAGGATGTCATTCGTCGTTCTTTTTATAAGTAATTGAAATTATTTTTGTGAAATCTCTTGAAAATATTATATTGAATTTTGTGACGTGTGGTTTATTTAAATAAATTGTTGTCACTTTGACTTCAGTTGTTTTCCTTTTCAGTATCATGTTAGAATCGTTATTCTCATAAATATTTAGTGCGTATTATATTACTTAGTTGAGATATTTCCGCTATCATCACTCATTCCCATCTAATTTCTGGTATTTGGTTGGTTGATTGCAGTAGCAGACCATTAGATAACTTCCATGTAACTCAATTAGCGATTTTTTTGTCGTTTTGCTACCACATTCCTCGCAAGAGCTCTAGTATACAAGAGTAGATTCTAAATCCATCCTTTTGGTATTTACTTTATATCTTCATTTTGTGAGATACAGTTATATTTCGTATTTATAGTCTTATATTCAGTATAAGAAATATGAGGTCATCATACCTCATATTTTTACTAAGATAAATTTTTGTAATTTTTTAGTTTTATTAGTTGAATCTACGGTTTCTTAAATTTTTTTTAAATAGGTAGTTGTTTAGAGTTACTTATGTTTACAAAAGTTTTTCAGAATAAAAGCAAATACTAAAAAGTAATTTGGAATCTAATTTAGATTCTGCGCAATAAGACCAAAAACATATTGGCAACTCTTTTTATATGAGATATTCGTTAACTGAGATATGTCCTCAATGTTTCTGTACTTCTTTAAGTGACTTAGCCTCAGAAGTATATGGCTAACTTTTACTACAAAAAGCACAAAAAGTTCAAAAATTATTTTGCTCTCTTTTTGAGCATGAAATGAGCAACTTAAATGTCCTTTGGGACTTTAAGTTCTAGTTTGTGTGTCCGTTTGATAAATAGAAATGTGTTTAACTAAAATTTTCCATTCATTCATTTAATTCTACGCAGGACTTAAAACGAACAACACTTATCGCAGAAACCGATACCCCAAAAAAATTATAAAACTTATGTTGTTAACGAAAAATCGAAAATAGACAAAAATAATTCAAAAAGTGGCTAAAGCAAATTTAATAAATTTTCATAAAAAATTAAATTCTAAATAAAATCAAATAATTAATATATATTCTAAATTAAAATAATTTTATTAAAATGCATTTGTTAAAAATTTTAAGTGAAAGCGCAAAATTTTTCATTAAAGATTTTTGCAGATTAAGTGATGTTCGTAATGCAAGAATTAGTTACATATTTTCTTGCTTTTTGGTGCTTTCATTATTGTGTAAGTTTTCAATGCTAAGTAATTCAAATTTTATAATGCTTTATAAATATATATATTTGAAACAAAAAATCATTGTTCCAAAAAAAAAAAAACAAAATATATTAAATCATTTTATTCCCAAGAGGAGTTGCCTTGGGAATGGCAACAGCAACAGACACATCATGTGTGTGAAAAATCGATTACGATTTCGTTTGTCATTTGACAGTCACAGGAAGACACATTAACGGCAACAGGATTTTCCCGTTACTACCCAGTGATATAATATTAAAATTTAAACCCTATACAAACTAAACTCAACATTATCACAACTGAAATAATATTTAAATAATTTATTTTCACTTAAAATAATTTTTCTTTATTTTTTACAAAAATCATTTGTTTTATTTATGTTACAGTGACATTCTGTAATGGCCTACAATTGGGCGCTTTTACTACAAAGACACCCAGGGTCACCAAATACACAACAAAACCTCCATCGGTAAGTTAACATTTTGGACCTTTGCATGGTGTTAGTTAAATCAAGATTAAATTTTTGATTGGCACGTGTTGGTATTAAAAGGTCTTCTATATTAAAGATATTAGTTACATGTTGATTGACGTTGACTACTAAGAAGATTCATTAATAATGATTAAAAATTAGAGATTGAACGAAAATAATTTTTAGCTAAGTGTATAGAGTTCTTTAATATATAATTTGTAATTTATAAAATTTAATTTAAAAATTAATTTAGAATTAAACGATAAAGAATTTTAAAAATACAAAACAAAAATGGAATAATTGGCTTATAAATACGTGTATGCTTTATATAATATATAAATTATATAAAAAATAAATAAAAATTTGGAATAGAAAAAATAATTGGTACCTCAACTATATTGCCTTTTATATAATTTAAAAGAATAATATTATATATATATATATAATATTATATATATTATTCAATTTTATATAACAATATATATATATATTAATAATATATATATTAATAAACTACACATTTCGTTTTTACACTTGATATTTATCGGTTTTTAATCATAACCATATCATATAATGATTATCAATGAAATAAATATTTTTTAAATATATTTATTTTTTTTGTTGATATTTTTGTGTTAAGTGATATATATTTTTTTTTTTCTATAATTTTTTTTGTATAATTTGAAATTAAGAAAATCCTAAAAAATTTTATTAAAAATAAGTGGTAGAAACAAAATAAAGGGTTTTCACTATATCAACTTTTTCTATAAATAAATTTTTTTAAACAAACTATTATTTGTATTAACTTATATTAATATTTATTTAATATTTTGTATAAAAAATTTTTTTGGCTAGTAAAGAATTCTTGTACATACTCTAATTTGATTAAGCAACTAAATATATTTCTTTTTGCAAATAAACATATATACAAGGATATATACATTTTCATTTATACATTTTGTGATTTAAAAGTACGTCACCTTTTTTTTGAGTCCTTAATACAAGAAGGGATATTCGTTTTAGTTTAAAAATAATTAAATCACTTTAGAACTCACTTAAAGGCAGGCGTTTAAATGTCTTAATATTTTTAGTCCTTGTAATTGTTATTTATCGATTATTTACAAATATGGAGACTTCTATTTATAGGTTAAGTAAATTGGTTTAATGTTTGACCCAATGATAAAAATGTTTATTTTATTGATTGCATTCAAGTTAAATACAAAAGCTTATGAAAATAATAAGCACTTTATTATCTATTAATAGCATTTTAACATATGATTTAATTTATCATTTATTTTGATGGTAGGTAAAATTACTTTAGAAAATTGACGATATGTACTTTGTTCAATTCATATTAATATTATTTATTAATTATAGAAAACTTGACTTAAAAATAATTTAATATAAATTACCTAACAAATTTTAGGTTAGTTATATGTTATATATGATATATATAATATTTTGATGGACATTAACTGATGAGTTATGGCATGGTCATCCTTGTCTCAAAGCTGCTTATTAGCTTTATCTCACTAGATTTCTTTAGACTATCTCACAATTTTATAAAAAATTTAATTATATTAACTTTGTCAATAGAATAGTTACTATGCTCTTTAACTTTATACATTATTATATATATATGTATATGTACATATATGTATATGTATAATATTTACATATGTGAGAATTCGTTTATATATAAATTTATGCTTTCAATCACATTAGAAACTTAAATCATTCCACTTCTTCAAGAGTAAATATATGAGATGCTACAAATGTATAGGAACAAACGATGTATGAATTTCTATTATTTTCTGAGATAAATTTGAATTTTTATGTGTTAAATTGTTCTTCTCTTAGAAGAAAGTTAGTATTATCGGGTCTGGTGTATACACTTCACTCATAAAAAATATAGCAATTTCGTAAAATTTTGTTTTGACTTATGGAAAATTGCACTTACGTCATTTACATGTGTATTCTGATACTATAATCAAGTTATATGTATATCTTTCGAATTACTGGTACTCTACTTCTGTACACTTGCAGAATGTTAACCTATGTTCTGGAGAAAAATATCTTATTCTAACAATGTTGTCGTATCTGAAAAAAATGCACTTGTATTTTGAGACTAAAGATTAATCCTTTTACAAGGTACTTTCTTAGAAAAGTGTTTTTGTGCTATGTATTGATGAATTGTTTCCAAAAACGATATTGTGGTTTAATAGTTAGTTGTATTGTAATTCAGGAACTTAATAAGCTTCCTTTTTTTATAACATCCTTTATTGGATTTGAGTAGTACAATCTTAACTATTTGTTAATTTATTACTGTTGCTGAATTATACTTAATAGATATTAAGTAATACGTGTGCGGGTTTACTGAACCAATGTTCAGCTCCCATATCACTTTCTAAGTAACATACTGTTTTTAATTATAGTGTATTATTTTTTGTGAAGGGAAGTATTTCATAATATGTTAATTTATATATAAAATATACTCTATGAAATAGCAAAAATATTTATGACTTTATTAAAGATGATTGAAAAGCATTAGATATCACTGAAGAATAATAATATAAAATTTAGCATTTGGAGGGAAATCATTAAAAGCAGACATTTACTTCATGTGTTTAGTATATTACATATATACTTCATGTCTAAGGAGTAAATATTAAAGTAAAAAAAATAGTGTCAAAATTCTTTAAAAAACTCATCATTGTAATTATGCTACCTTTGATTGATGTTAAAAAATAAAATTTGTGACCAAAAAAAAACTCAAAATTGATCCTTGTTTACTCGAGTAATCAAGGATCAATTTCAATTTAAATAGAGCATTCTATTTTAAATAGTATAAAGTATAGTTAGCTGGATAAGAGCATACATAGACCAAACCGATCCGTAACGATTTAAAAAATGCAATTGTACTATTAATTTATACACATTTCATATAAATTTGGAACATTTTATTGAAATGAAACTAATTTATCTAATTAATTTTTTTTGTTAATTAATAGTCTGCATCTATGAACCATGACGCCACCACATCCATTTATCGTTTTAATGCCACGAATGGAATCACTTGCATCCTAATCAGCGTTGATGGTTTAATAAGTATCAAATATCGCAATAAATTGAATGAAGACGTGGAGGCTGATGTTTATTTACCCGATAACCCTAGTCTGAGCGGTGAGTGCGTGGAATCGAATATGGAAATATTAACATTAGACTTTAAAGGATTTAAGTTATCGATGACATTTAAAAAGGTAAGTTGATGGGATTGCATAAAATTTTGATTAAGATATAAAAACAGTCATACGAGGCGTATGAGTGTTATTTCACAAAAGAGTTCGTAGTAGCTGTAATTATGAGAACCCACCATTGACGTTAACAAAATGTCAAATGGCTAAACAATATACAATGCATACATACATATAAACCCATGTGAAATGCTGATGTTTAGTAGCTTTAAAGGATACACACATATATACATATATATATGAGCACGGAAAGCACGTGCTATTGGTTGTCGCTGAGGGTTGCATAAGTTATTATCTGTATTGACGTGCTCTACCAAGTGTGAGGATTAAAGGATGTGAGTTGTGCATTTTACTGCCATTTCGTTGTGATGTTTTTACTTGTTTGGTCATTTATGGTTTTGTTTTTTTTTGTATAATATTATATTTTTAATATTTTTCTACTGTGACCTTTACGGTCACAATTTAAAAGCATAGCATAGCTATAAACCGAAAAATTGGAATAAAATTTTTTACTTAATATTATGGTTTGCATTTAAGAAATTGACTTGTAATGGGAAAACTGCAATTGAAATGGATATTTAATAAAATGATATAGAGAAAATACATGAAATATTTAATTAGATAAATAAATGTTATAATAAAATATGCAGACAATTGAGAATATCATCCATGTTTCAGAACTGAGATCTTAATTTAAAATTATTCTATATTAAGAAAATATGTCGATTATTTTTTAAGTAACAATTACTGTTTATGAGAGTCAAGAAAATATTCAATTATTTTAAGAAGTCAATTATAGTGTTGTTTCAGAATCCTTTGGTGTTAAAATTATGCTCAGAAATACATTTTCTTCATGATTGCTTTTTTTATAGGAAAGAAAGTATTATACTATGTTCAGACACACCTTAATTTCACAAAAAACTTAATTTCATCTTCATTTCAGCGAAATTAAGTTGTTTTTGCCAGACAAAATTTAGTTTTAAGGTTAAAACGAAATTAAAGAAAATGTTCTTAATTTCGTTGAAACGAAGGCTGAAATTAAGGGAAATTTCAAATACAACTATGCAAAAGATATGTTTTAAGCAAAAGATAAATTTTAAGCAAAATATAAAATTGAGATAACGAAAAATTGACATTTTTTTTGAATAAATATCAGTGACAGTTGACTTTAATAAACCCGGGAAAACATTTTAAAAGTAGTTCAAATTTTTAAATTTCAATATAGAGAAAAAACTGTAACTGCTAATAATTTAAAATAGAGTGAAAAATAATAATTCACATGCTTGAAATCCTCCTTCATAGTTATAATAATCAACTTCCAAAATTTCCCAGATACAAATAGTGTTTGGAACATGTAATTTTTAACATTCGAGTTGTAAACAAAAAACATATGATTTTCTTAATTTAGGGCAGTATGAACTTTTGAAATTAACTTAATACCATTTCTAAGAAATTAAACAATAATGGTTGTCTGAACAAAGTATTAGTTTGATATAAATGTTAAACAAATATTATATCCATAATATTTTTGTTATTTCTACTAGCTTCAATTTCTTATTTATTTTAACTTTTGTTATGTGCCTTGTTCTAATCAAATTAGCATTATTGTCTGTCTGTTTAAATGGATTTATTTTTTCCTTAAAACATATGTAATGCACCACATATATTAATTAAAACTAAACTTAATGTAATGGCAAAAATCTATCTATGAAGTACCGTAGCTTTTAGGTAATTAAATTAGAAACTTGTAACAAATTGTTTTATTTATGTGAATAAATGAATGAATAATTGTGTGACATTTCATTAATGAGTAGGGTGGCCCTGTTGATCTGTGGCATTTCAAATTGTTATATATTTTTCATAGAAGTTACACAAAAAAATGAAATAAACAAAAGTAGTCAAATTGAACTTTTCGAATTCCTTTCGAATAATTATAATATCCACCTTTAAACTAAATTTTGGCTCAGAGTCGTTTTACAAACGCTTTAAACGCTGCATGCATATAATCTTCCTACAGTTACAAAGAATGGCTTTAAGCACATTAAAACTTGATGTTTTTTAATACAGTTCTAGGCCCGTCAAACACTTAATATTTCGATCATTTTATTTCTTTGTAAATTGTTTAGCTAGAAAAGTTTTTTATCTAAGAAAACGATATTCATGCATGCAAATTTGCTACAGCCCATCTGTTTCTTTGCTGTAATTATACTTATAAGGTATTATTTGTATTCATTTTCGAATCTTTAAGATTACTTTCGATATAATCAACTAAATAATCATATATTATTCTCGTGCGACGATTCGATATTTTTCGTTGCTTCAAATATTGGTTTTTTCCGAGCGTAACCAAAGCGTTTTACATTTTGGCTTCTTTATCATAGCTGAACTGGTTGCACTACACTATTTTATTTTTTATTGCTGAGGCCCTGTCCATCAAATTTGGTTCACAATACGCAAAATGGAACGGAAGCAAATTTTTTATATATACAGACAGTAAATCAACATTCAAAGCTATAAAGAACTTTTACAATAGTAGCGAACCTATCAGCACTTTCAAGAATAACTAACTACGTTACGTTATCCTAACAAATTTAAAATCACGTAGGTTTCTAGGCACGCAAAAATCAACTGAAATGAACTGAGCATATATACAAAAAAAGACATATTATTTATAATAAACAAACATATCGACAATTCAGGAACAATAGAATGGTCAGCGTTCAACCATCGATAAAGACCAGTCTCTTAAAAGCAAATTATTCTCAATCATACACCTGTCAACAAATGTCAAATTTTAATTCAATTATGTATGGAACAAACAAAACTTTCTCATAAGCACCCCTTCGATGGGAGTTAGCCACATAACTATCCGTTTGGTAATAATCTACTACATATAGATTATATACTTAATAATCACACTACTTTAAATTTAATTCAAAATAATATCTATTTCAATATGTTACCTGTCCTACCTGTCTACTAAAAACAGTTTCTATTAAAAATATATTTCTTTTAAATAAATATGTTAAATTCTGTAATATAGTTGTTTAAATTTAATTATAAATTAAATTATAATTAAATTATAAATTATATAATTATTAAATTATATAAGATTATATATTTTGTAATTATAATAATAATAATAACTAAATACTATTTGCAGTTATATATATATATAAAATGTAACTTGATATTTAATAACAGAATCAAACTATTCCTATAAAAATTTTATCTGATCCAATAGGTAATATAGATTGTATTTCAGTTTGATCCGACATGCACCACGCACAAAATTTCACCTAAATATTTTCTAAAAAAACAAATAAAAATAAAATTGTCCAATATTTAAATAAGATGGTCGACAGTTTTGTGGTTAATCTCTCGCCTATATGTTTATAGGATTCATTTATAATAGTAAATAATTCCTTTTTAATTAAAAATTTTTAATATTGAAATTTATAAACAAAAATTATAAACAATTAAATTTAAAATTATCTATTCTATTTCTACTTAGTCTTCTGGAGGAGAAGGCTGGTATATTAATTTATTCGAGCTCTCATATTCGTCGTCAAATCAATTATTTGAACATCCAGATCGTCCAGGACTTGATGTGAAACTTTCCTCACATACACCAATGTATTTCCCAACACCTGTTGGTAAATCTTATGTATGCGATAAGGAACAGGCTGTGGTTTTGTATGCGCCGCTTGATTCTGGCGATCAATCTGGTCACATAGCACGTTTATATCTACGAGATCTACACATGCAAAGTTTTATGTTCAAAGAGAGTGGTAAATGGGGTCCTTCATTTCATTGTAGCGCTACGGGTTCCTATCGAGATGAGACGGCACCACTTGCTGTTGGTACAGCGCTAGCGATAGCTGTGTTATTAACAGTATCAGGATATGGTGGTTGGAGGTTAGTAAAAACAATATGCAATATATAACAAATATTAAAATTTGTATTTTAATTCCACAGATACTTTAAAATAAAGAAAGTCCAATATGGTTCCATGGAATAAGGAAATGTAAATTAGTGTTAAATTAGACATTTTTTTGTTTGTCTCCTATAATAATTAATAATTGAACGATATTTAATCTTATAAAAAATTTTTGAAAAGAAAAACTAAAATGTTACCTATATATAAAGTTAAAAAATTAATATTTCTTATAAATTGTGTTACAACGTATATATTAATTTTATAATACATGCTGAATATTTGAAAGTTTATTTGTAAACAATTCTTTGTCTGATATATTTTTAATATATCAAAAAATATATGAATTTTTTGTGATTAAAGGAATAATTTTTAGAACTATTTAATTTATAATAAATATTTATTAAAAATTATTGAAATTATTTTTATTTCATAAGTTTTGCTTTTAAATTAAAATTACCACTAATAAAAATTTAATAAAAATGCATTAATTTTAAATTTTAAAAATATAAGATATATTAATTATGAGAATTACAAATGTCTTCCATATTATTAACGTAATAATAAAAATTATATATAAATATTAATAACTTAAAAAAGTATTTATATTATGAAATTTATAAATTATATACTAAATTATTAATTTTCTGTTAGTAGTGATATGTATTTATAAAAATATTAACGTCATGAATAAAATATATAATTAAAAATTAAATGAAAATAAATTAAATTATATTACATTAAAGCAAAATAAATTAAATTATATTAAATAATATCAAATTATATTAAGTTATAAAGAACATTAAATACCAATTTAATATTTTAATTTGTTTTACAAAATGAAAAATACTTAAAAAATTTTATACAATTTAGTACAGTTCTTCTCTACTCAGTGAAAAATAATAATGATATATTTATTTATCTTTTGTAATAATAAATCGGCACTTTGCTTGGAGTAAATTTTATTAATACTGCATAATAAAAAATAAATCATTTTGCAAAATAATTTTACTTTAAATAAATAAAAATTAAATTTTTTTCATATATTTCTCATATTTACTAAGCCACCTAAAAATCTTGATGTTGTTGTTTTCTTCATTAATAATTTTTTTAATAACTTTAATAATATAACCGAAAAAATATAAATCTATATTATTTATAAAATGTGAGTTCAATTCTTATTCAGAATTAATCGAAAAATGTAATATAATAAAAATTGTTTTAAATAAAATGATGTACCCAGAGGTAAAAAAGTAATTTCTAAAGGTTTCCGATTTCAACAGTTTAGTTGTTTTAAAAATTAGAGTATTTTATTTAAAATAGAAATATTTATTCTAACTAGCAATTATTCTAATAGCTTGATTTTACTTGAAAACACACTACAGCCTTACTGCTTACAAAAAGAGGCTCAAGATAAATTTCTAATGGTTTCGGGCAGTTGTTCCTATTTATCTATTAAAAATAGGAAAAATATACATTAATAGTTTACATTACTTTTGAAACAGACATTAGATCAAATTTTTCTATTTTGGTATCTTATTATTGTTATTGTTAGTTGATGGCCTCATCTGTAAGGATATACATTCCCAGGAGTCTATTTCGTATGTGCATTAGCGTAGAGCATTCTAACAGCACATGTGTGGCCGACTTCTCATTCTCTTCACAGAATTTACAGTTTGCATCCGTAAGTGTAATAGATATCTAATAGATCTAAGTAATGATATCAAATACATTTTAATTGTTTAATAATGCTTTTATCACAAAACTGAAATATATTTACAAATTTGATTATGAGGAACCAATTTTTGAACGTAATAACATACATACCTTCGCTCAAAAAGTACTCGGATTTTGTAAATAAAACACACAAATTTAAATTTTATTTATTTTATCTTCTTCAAAATATGCTTTTTCTGAACCGATACATATATTCCAACACTTAACCCAATCTTCAACACACTTTTCGTAGGCCAATGAAGGTATGGCTTTTAGTTCCTTTAGCGAATTCTCTTTTACCGATTCAATCGACTCAAAACGCTTACCACGAAGGCTCAATTTGAGTTTCGGGAACAGGAAAAAGTCGTACGGGGCCAGATCTGGCTAATATGGTGCCTAAGCGATGACAGTGGTGTCGTGTTTGGTCAAAAAATCGCATACAACAAGAATTTTTCATAATAAAAATCGCTAAATGCACTTGAGGTAGTTTCACATTAACAGTTGCTGTAAACAAACTTATTGACAGATGGCGCACAAATTTTTACTAAATGTCGAAAAAGGGTGTACCAACACAACAAAAATTTTTGAAAAAGGTCTATTACTTAAGGAGTAGTTAACAATCAACAACATCCGGATACATTTTGAACCTACTAAAACCCTAGTTTTGAACCTAAAACCCCTACTAATGTATTTGGAGCAGTTGTTGCAATTACTAGAAATTTTAAAATTGTTATAGATTATTTTGAATAGGTGTATTCAAAACTAACTTGGGAACTAAGTATCCCGTGAGGTTTTACGTACAATTGGCTTTTTTGAAAAATACAGAACGCGAATATGAGTATGAATACTGAGTAAGAATGATGTTATTAGTAGTATGTTATTAGTTGTCAAGAGATAGTCTAATATCTTAAATATTTATTTTAAAGAAGTCTCATTTATATTAGAATTATCATACAATTATTAGTGATTTGTTTCGCTATCATGTATGTATTCATAAATATGTCTCGTTTTCGTAATGATTTGCTGCACATATCATTATTTTTTGTAGATTAAAATTTGAAAAATTGCAGCAATTGTGATATTGTAGACAGACGTAATTTACGAATTACTTAAATAGTTTTTGTAAATAAACTTATAGCTAAAATACGATAAAAGTTGGCGTGAAAGCTATTAACAGTGTCTTCTACAAGGGTAAGATCTCATTAGTGTGATTACTCTTTAGTGTCATGCAGATACATATATGTTTTTCTTATCAACGTGCTATGATATCGGAACACGATAAATAAGTTAAAAATTAATTTAAAATATACTGCTTTGATTACACAGACCTGCGAAAAAATATTTTTTAAAAATTATTCTGAATTTTATCACTAATTGTTATGTGGTTCTCAGTACTAAATTCAAAAACGAAGACCGTGCCTGTCCAACAGGTAAGGTTTTTTCATATAACTCGTTAGCACAAAACATATTTAGCTAAATAAATTTACTTATTTTATTTTATATTTTTTTAAAATCATGAGGAGATATAAACATTTTTTATAATATCAATGCAAAGTTAATAAATCGGAGTGGTTTGCGCACACACATACTTTTGCGTGTTCCTTGAGGATTATTCTTTCTCAGCATCTAGTAATAGTCCACATCATCTTAACGTTGTATATTTTTTGATGTCGCTATTCAATTTCTTTCATATACTGATGAAATTCTTTGCCCTGTTTTTCGCTGAGTGCATTAACAAAGTAGTCGAGGAACAAGTGGAAAAAATATTGTTTAAGGTTCATCTAACAGTCTACACCTCAAAAGCTTTTTAATAGATCTGCTACTATTATTTTGTAGTTTAGGAGCTTTTTGGTCCCAAAGAATCCGATTGTAACAAGCTTTAAATATATCCATGCTGCTTTTTCTGTCGGGTCCATTTTGGTCTCAAAATTGTAATCTTTTATAAGTTCTTTGGTATCAGATGCAACAAATGCTGCAACTTTCAACATCGCACACAAAGAGACTTAAACAACACATAAGAATTAGAATTGTGACCAATTGGTGGGTTACTATTATATAAATAAATTTATAATTGATTCAAGCTTATATCTATGAATAAACTTATAAATAACTATAGAGAATTCGTAATTATATTACATTAATTAATATTTTTAGTTAAAAATCAAATAATATTTTTAAGGACGAATATAAAATTTCTGAGCTTTGAACCCATATAACAAAATTGCGTAATTTTTATGTACTTGGTGTTTAAGATAATTGAAAGAAGATGAGAATTATAAGATAAAAAAAAAATATGTATTTATAATTCTTATTTAGAAATAAAATGATATCAGATGGTAAAAAAATAAACACAATATTTATAATTCTTGTCCAGTTTAAATTTTATGTTCTCTAAATTTAACTCTGAAAGTAAACAAATTGTTTTATTTAATGGTAATATATTTTTGTGTTTATAAAGTTCATCTGTTATGTCTGCATCGCTTTCGGAATTTGAGTTTACAACATGAATTTTTACTCATTGGTGCTGTAAAATTATAAACTTCCAAATGCACTTATTGAGTGCCTCTTTTAGGTAAAGTGGTAAAATTGAATTATCGAAACAGTTGATTTAGTTTTTTTTATTTATTTCACAAAAGCAAGAAAAGTAAAAGTAAAAAAGTAAACTTTAAATAAAATTTATTTAAGCGATTTTGACCAAAAAGCTCAAATATATATCGTTATTTATATGAGCAGTAGTTCTGCTATATATGTATTACCTATGCTTTCTAAAAATATGATTAATTATTTTAATTATGGGGAGACAGACTTGCATACAAATGCATGAAAAAAATATTGACACCGAATCGAAAACTGATGTTTTTACCGGAGTCAAAACCAATTTTGAACCGACATATATTTTGGCCTTCAACCGGAACAGGAAATACTCTAATTGGAAGACCTGATTTAACATGGACGTGAGTATATTAAATTGTTAACAAGGCATATGGAGTTTGGGCTGTTGGTTCGTAGATTCGGGCACGGTTGCCACTTGAAAATTTTTTCTGTACCAAAATTGGTTTAAAAAGGTACCATTTCTGTAAAAAAAGGTCCAAAATTTTTTTGGACCTTTTTGTTTTCTCGCTCTGTGTTTTTCATAGTGTTATAAATGAACAAAATATAAAATAGTGCAAAGTTGCATTTATAAAAAAAATTAATTTTAAATATCCACAATAAAGTTGGGTCGTCAAAAATGTACCATATTTTGAAAGAGAGTACCAAACGAAAAAAAAAAAAAAAGTACCAATTTTGGTACTAAAGTACCATAAGTGACAACCGTGGATTCGGGCACTCATAAGGAGTATAAGTATTAATATTATTATATTATTATATTATACGTTATCTTTGTGTATTAATATACATAACTAAGAGAACAGTATTTATTTGACCTAT